GGAGGGTCAGAGGGAGAAGCGGACTCCCCGCTGAGCAGGGAGCCCGATGCGGGACCCGATCCCGGGACTCCAGGATCATGACCTGAGCCGAAGGCAGTCGCTTAACCAACTGAGCCACCCAGGCGCCCCCTGCCTATCTTTTTAAGACCTAGATGAAAGGTACCCACCCCCTCCTGATGGTCCCAGGTCATTCACCGGGTCCTTCTCTTCCCTTGCACAGCTCCTTCCTGGGAATGTGTACTCTTCCTGACTAGTCACATGGGCCCCACAATCTTTTTACATGTGTGTTTCTCCTTCTAAACCAAGAGTTCCTTGGGGCCAGGGGTTCTCTTCAAGTGGGAGCCAGGCCTTAAGCATCTTGTTAGTCCGGTACTAAGCCAGAGCATGGCTCTCAGGAGGGGTTAAGTGGATGTTTGCCAAACGCTGCCTGAGCAAATTCATGACCGGTAACACAAATGGCTCCATAGCCATTACTTTGCTCATTGTCTCACTGGGGACTGATGCGCAAAGAAAAATAACATAAATGATTCAGTTGTTGTTTGCTTTGGACAGTATATGAACATGATCTGTCGGTCGTTAATATTAACTCAGGTTTATCCACGTCGCTACCCCCGCGGCAGTATAAATAAGGCATGGGCAGATACAAAGAGCTCGTGGCAACCCCAGCTCCTCTGGAAGGTAAGTCACCTTTCTCTCGGAGACAGAACTGGTTCCACGGAGTGTGTGTTTCATTGTTCCTTTTTGCCATGTTTCAGGTAGTATTTGCCTTAGGGAAGATGATGGGAAATCCAGTGTGATAAGCGTGTGTGTGTATTTTCTGGAATCTCTTCCATACGCTAATTTCCCCACCCCATAGCCCCCTCCGCCTCATGCCCCCCCTCAACCACAGTGCCCTACACCCCTTACTGCCCCTTCCCCCACTCAGACGAGGTGGATGGAGGGGGCAGGGAAGGAGGGGGGCTGCTGGGGGAATGTCAGGGGTGGGGCAGTGGGAGGCAGGGCCGTGGCTGGGGGTGCTGGAGGGGACAACGAGGGCATGAGGCAGGCTGCTCAGGGCCAGGAGTCTGGTTGACAGGAACCAGGGTCTTTAGAGCTTCTCTGTCACCTGAAGAATTTGTACTCCATCTCTTCGAAGCTCATGGGGAGCCAGGAAGAGGAAATGACGATTATGCTTTGGGGAACCCACGTTGGCTGCAGAGTGGCTGGAAGGGTCAGTGGGGGGCAAGACTGAGAACTGAGAGATGCTATTTTAGTCAGCTTGGGCCGCCATAACAAAATCCCACAGACTGGGTGGCTTAGAAAACAGACATTTATTTTCTCACAGCTCTGGAAGCTGGAAGACTGAGGTCGGGGTGCCAACACGGTTGGGTTCTGGTGAGAGCCCTCTCCCTGGTCTTCTGGCAATGTCCTCATGTGACCTCATCTTTGTGGGTACAGGCACAGGGTCAAGGACAGGGGAGAGCCAATGCTCTGGTGTCTCTTCCTACACGGGCACTAACCTATGACCATATATAAGGGACCCTCATGACCTTGTCTGACCCTAATTCCTTCCCATAGGCGCTCCCTTCAGACACCATTACATGTGGGAGTAGGGCTTCAACATAAGAATTTTGAGGGACATAAACCTTCATCCACAGCAGATGCTATTTCGGTAGCCATGACAAGAGATGCCATGGTGATGGATCACCAGACATATGCAGAGGAGCGGACCCTGTGCCCAGAGCTGTGTCAGGAACTGTAGGAAAACCAGGCAGGAAGACAGGGCCCTGCCCTAAAGAGGTTGAACTGAACACAAACTCAGGGCATAGTTCACATCTTTTCCCTTCCCATTGGGGGTGCCAGAAATCCCACCATTAGAGCACCTTTCAGATTGCAGCCCTGACTTCTAGTCCCAGTCAATCGTGGGGGGCACATCCGGGGGAAGAGAGAGGTTTTTCCCCCAACAATGGGATGGGGCAGTAGCTGTGAGGACCGGGAGGGCCCACAGGAGGTGGCCAGGATCACCTGAGACAACTTTGCCAGGCCCTCCATTCAGTTCATGACCCAGTCACCTGAGCACCACCTGGGCTTCCTTTCAGAAATCATACCTGGCTGCCCTGAAGCCAGATCTGGTCTCCATCTGAGCTAGATAGTGTTAGCAAGTGCTTTTGACAAGATTGAATTTTTCATGCAAAAATCTAGGTTTCCAGCTTCTTCAGAAACATAAAAAAAAAAAAAAAAATCGGGCACCACTGACCCAGCACTCCCACACAGTGAACATAGCTGGGCTGAGTAGCACCTGCCTGCCTCTGACCTGGGCATGCCTCTCCCTTTGCCACAATCCCCAGTGGTCCTTATTACATGATGCTTGCTGGCCTTGTCTGTGTGTATTTCTGGCCAGATCTCTATAACATTTCAATCTGCACTCCCTGCTTTATCCCTCTCCTTGCCTTCCCTTTCCACACTTTTCAGGACTTTGTTATGAGCCCTGTATTTAAAAAAAAAAAAAGGAAGAGCAGAAAAAAAGAAAAGACAGAGAGAGAGAGAGAGAGAGAGAGAAGTCCCAGTGTAGAGTGCTGCTCAAAATCATAGAATGTCTTAGTGACAAGAGGTGCTAGGACCAGGCTGGAGAAGTGACTTGCATTAGGACCCACTTGTAGCACAGGCCAGAGGCAGAATTGGATCCCTTGTCATCAAGTCATTTATCTTTAATTTGCCTAAAGTCACATTCCAAAACACTTTAGCCTTTCCTCATTAGCCTTAGTTAGCATCCTCCAGTCAAGGACTAAGAGTAAACCCCCAGCTCCCAGGTAATAATGGGCCCTTTCTCAAGCCCCTTAGCATCGAGAACATGTTCCATGGAATGTTCCTTCCTTCCAATTAGAGCTCCCTGGATTGCTGCAGAAATGTCCCACAGGAAAATGCACCTGACTCTCTCTCTGGTCCTCATCCTCTGTGGCCTTCTTAATAGCATCTGCTGTGAGATGAAACAAAGATCCAAATGGAATATTTACCCAGTCTCACCATGGAAAATTTCACCCATCCGCCACAAGATAGAAGCTGGCAATAAGGATTTCGCCCACAAATTGTTCAAAACCCTGTTAATGGAGCATCCCAGAAAGAATATCATCTTCTCCCCTCTGAGTATCTCTGCCTCCTTGGCCATGCTTTCCCTGGGGACCAGATCCACAACACTCACTAACCTCCTCGAGGGCCTTGGATTTGACCTCAAAGTCATGAGGGTGTGGGACGTGCACCGTGGCTTCCAGAGTGTCGTCCAGATGCTGAAGCAGCTGAGTAGGGAGGGGCACCTGAAGCACAGGGACATGCTCTTTATCGATAGCAACAGGAAGATCAACACCCCGTTTCTGTGGGACACAGAGGGGATATATGACGTGAAGGCCCAGATGATTGACTTTCGAGATGTAAAACACACCAAGAAGCAAATCAACCACTTTGTGGCTGAAAAAATGCACAAGGGAACCAAGAGATTCATCACCTCTCTGAACCCTCATACCTTCCTGTTTCTTATAAATTACGTTTTCTTCAAAGGTAAGGTTTATCAAGTGCATGAATTCCTGTTTGGGTAACCTTTGCCCTTGTGTTTCCTGAAAAATCTCAGTCAGAAAAAAACCTAGTTTTTGTGATTCTATCCCATGTCCCATAGGCCAGGAGATTCAAAACTTTTAATTTGCTTTTATTTCATTGTGCTATCTAACATTTTTTTTAAAGATTTTATTTATTTATTTCACAGAGAAAGAGACAGACAGTAGCAGAGGGAGAGAGAGAAGCAGACTCCAGACTGAGCAGGGAGCCCGATGCGGGGCTCGATCCCAGGACCCTGGGATCATGACCTGAGCTGAAGGCAAACGCTTAATGACTAAGCCACCCAGGCGCCCCAATTATCTAGCATTTTTAAGTGTTTCTGTTCCCAACCCTTTCGGTCATATCGTTGGCCAAACTTAAGATATTTTGGAGTAAAATGGAGTAACTCTTGATGGCAGAAGAGGATTCTACGCAGGAGTGAGTGTGCACCCACGTGCACGCAAGTGTATGTTCTTCTGATGAAAATTCTCCCTCCTTGAATACGTTAAACAATTTTAAGCAGATTTCTTTGTCATAAGACTTCTCAGAACTCTTTTTTAAATTATCTTATCTTACTTAAATTCAATTAATTTATACATAGTTTCAGTTGTAGAGCTCAGTTATTCATCAGTTGCCTATCGGAACTCTTAATCCACTAAAATGCGGTGGGAATTTTCAAAGAAGGGGTGTTGTGGTCATTGTTTCCCAAATTATTTGACAACAGAATCCTTTCTTGGTGTTATAGTTCCAGAGGCAGGCAGTATTTTAGGAAATATCTTTTGAAGAATATAGATTTAAAGAAATCCTATGGTGAATATTTTCAAAACTCGTGTGTTTGCCTTTTTTTCCTTTGCATCCATCTGGGATTTTACATATTCTGTTCACTGAGGTCCAGGTATCGCTGGAAGGAGGCTACTCCCTTCTCAAGCCCCTCACCTCTGGGGTCCCCAGACATGTGGGTGCTGATGCCTTCTCCAACAGGTCTCTTTGAGTTTCTCCTTTCTGATTCTCCTAGGCATTTGGAAAATGGCTTTTCATACCAACCTCATGCACAAGGAGGACTTCTTTGTGGATGAGCACACCACAGTGCAGGTGGACATGATGTGGAAGAAGGAACACATGATTTATAGCCGATCGGAGAAGCTGTTTGCTACAATGGTTAAAATTCCTTTCATTGGAAACATGTCCATAGTCCTTGTGCTCCCAGATGTAGGACAGCCCGACTGTACTGTAAAAGAGATGGTTGTTCAAAGAGCTACACTTCTGAAATCCAGTGGCATGAGGTATGCTACTCTGGAGGGACATTCTAGATTCACACTGAAATTTTGCTCAGATCTCACTTCCTCTGTACAAAAGTCTTATTTCAGGGAAATTGAGTATTTGCTTATTTCCTAGCATATTTGTGGAAAATGAAAGAAGCCAAGCAGGAAAAATGAAAGCCTGGCTTCCATTATCAGCCGGATGCCCCTTCAACTGTCTAAATGATGGTTCTTTTTGTAACATGTATCAAAAACCCACTCCATACAAGCTCAAGGGGGTAAAGAAAGGTATGTATCAGAAAGATGCACCTAAGAGGATAAACGCAGCCTGGTGTCACAAGGGATTGGACAGGGGACCGCAACATCATTGGGAACTCCATCTCCCTGATGTCATTTGTCCTTGCTCCTCACCTCTCTGGCTCAGCAAACCAGCTGGTTTACTCACCCAACACATATATCCTGAGCATCGATTCCATGCCAGACACTGCTCAGTGCTGGGAATACAAAGGCTAGCCAACACGTCTCTGTCACTGTGAGATTTCCAGTCCGGTGGGAGAGGCAGTAAGTCAACTAATAAACGTATAAATTCAAATTGCAGTAAAACTATGGAAAAAATGAGTAGGTGATAGAATAGAGGATTCAGATGTAGAGTATTAATTGGGGATCTTAATTAGGTATGATGCTCAGAGAAGGATCCTAAGAGGTAAATTCCCAGCTGAGTCCATCGTGGACAGACTTGGCTCTCTTCCACTCAAGCAAATGCTCCACTTGATACTGAACCTAATATGTTTCTGTTCCAATGACATATTCCTGGAAGGGAGTATTGGATTGATCCAGCTTAGTTATGGTATCCACCACGGTCCAATCAAATATGGGCAAATTACATAATGAAAGCATGATTTCCAATGGCTCACTGATCTTGGCGAGGGCAGGGGCAGTCTTTAGGCAGTAAACGTGTAGACTGGGGAAAAAAATCTCCAAATAGTGTTCACCCCATGCCATGTAGGAGCACCAGCTACTGCCCATGTAGCATATCCGTGGTTGAGGACCACAGCGGAGCGTGTCTGCCATCATCTGCCACAGCTGTACTTCACACAGTGGCATGGTTGGGACAGGGGGTACCCCAAGAGAAGAACCCAACTGGATGGGTTATGACCCATTCAGAAGCTTAATATCACACAAACACAGGTGAAAATATACTGGGTCGTGAACAACACGACATGCTGGGTAGGGGGAGGGCACTAGGCACTAGACCTCCTGCACCGTATTTTGGATCACCACTCAATTAAATGCCTGCCTATAGCTGGAGGGTTGGAGGGACTCAGGGCTGGATCCCCTGCCCTGACCCTCATCTTCTCTTGGTTGGGGAGACTATGAGGGGCATAGCTTGAATTGTAAGGTGTATTTTAGGCAAGTGCGTGGCCTGGAAATGCACAGTTGCCGCTTATGCTCCATCACCATCAACCTCTCCCCACACAAGCACCCATGCCTCATCCTTTCTTAACTCTCCCTTGGAAGAGGCCTAAAAGCAAAAACGAGGTGCTTCCCCTGGACCTGGGAGAGAGACATGTTCAGCTTCCTTGCGGTTTTCACTCCTAACAGATGGGTGCACTTAATTATGCCCAAGTTCAAGATCTCCTCCAAGATAGACTTAAAAAAAATACTTCCCAAAATGGGCATCAGCAATGTGTTTACTACAGCAGCAGACTTCTCAGGCATCACAGAGGAGGATTTCCCAGCTATTTTTGAGGTGAGTAGAGCAATTTCTAGAGTTTCTGTTTTATCCACAGCAGTTCTGAATGAAAAACAATTTAAAAAATAGTTATAAATATTATCTGCCCTGGTCCATTGGCTTTTGAGATTCTTTGGTCATTCAGGCATTCATAAGCAATTGCATCAGGCACTTTTGGAGGCTCTGGGGATAAAGTCGTAAACAAGCCAAAGTCCTACCATCATAGATGTTCCATTCTCCTGATAGGGTCAGACAGGGGACATACCAACGAATAGCTATGTCCCATGTCAGCCAGTGATACGTTCTGTGAAGGCAGGAAAGGCAGAAACCGAACAGCATGCTGGGGTGCAGTGGGCTGGCTTGCAGGGGGGCTGTCCAGGAAAGTTGTCGGGCTGGATTTTCCTTCATGCAGAGGCCTAAAGAAGGAAAGAAAAGAGCAAGGGAGCACATCGAGAGGACGCATGTTCAAGTGCATCCTGAGGGGGATGTGGGCTTGACATCCTCGAAGAACCCTGAGGAGGCCCACACAGTTAGCATGGTGCATGAGAGCGAGACAGGTGGCCGGTGAGGTCAGAAAAGACGCAGCGTGGGCCACATGGGTCTGCAGGTCCTGCACAGGCCCGGGGGCTGTTCTGACGGACATGGGAGACCACCGAGGCTGACACGAACTGACGTGTGTTCTATGAAAGCGATGCTCTGCGGTGTGCAGGAAGCATGGCCCATAACCCAGATGAGGCATAAACGCGGTTTGACGGGGTGTTGGTGGGAGCGTTAGCGGTGGTGAGGAGACCCTGTGTGACTTTTGAAGACAGAGCTGGGGTGCAGGGAAGGAAGTGTCAGAGAGGGCAGCTCTGTAGTTGGAGCCTGGCCCACGCTGGAGCCAGCCCCAGATAGGAAAGACGGAGGGGCCGCGGGGGGTGTGGATGAGCAAGCAGGGACTGCTCTGCCAACTGGAGATGCCTGCAAGACATCCAGATGCCTGCCATGGAGCATTTGTGGGCACAAGGGGCTGCCTCTAATTACTCCACCAAGGTCACAGACCGGCTGGCTGCTTGGTGGCCACCCCGTAACACACTGCCCAGGACGAGCCTAGTGATCATAATCTCTCATCATGGTGCAGCACTTGATAGATTACAAAGCAATTTTTCAGGCTTCTCTCACCTGATTCTCCCAAAGACCTTGGGGAGGGGACAGTGTCTGTTCTCTAACTGAGGGAGGAGCGAGCGGTCACTCACGGAGGACACCGGATGGAGTTCCCAGGGCCGGGCCCCGGCTGGGATGCAGTTTTTCTGGGGTCACAGGTTTCCCTACTCACAGAATCCCCTGGATGAGCACACACTGCGTGCGGGAGGGCCGGGCTGGGGCTCAGGGATGCCGTGCCCCTCACAGGACAAGAGCCTGGTCCCCAGGGGCCTGGCAGAGCCTCCTGCAGATCAGAGGGGGGACAAGCTCTTCCATACGGATGGAAAAATTTCCGTGCTGGGATGGAGACAGAAAAACCAGCCCCTTCCCTCCCTCCCTTTCTCTCTACCACCACATCCTTCTTGAAAGCATTTGAGAGGCCCACCCTCAGTGATTCTATAGGATCTTTTCCTAAGCCTTCAGACCACCCAGGTTTGCTCTGAGTTCTAGTCCCCTTTCCTCTCATTTAAACACCTAAACTCCTCGAACTTTCTGCCTGCACTGGGGGAGATGGAGCTCGGCAGTTAGTGTGGACCCTGTCCTGAGGCGTCTGGGTCCGACAGCTGAGAGTCTCAGGTGATTCTCCAGGAATGGGAGCCAGCGTTCCCCCCCCACCATGCCCAGAGCTGAGACAAGACCTGTTTTTCCCCAGGCGATACACGAAGCCACAATGGAGGTGAGTGAGGAAGGCAAGATGGACACCCCCGAGGACATGGACTCGAGCAACGCCATCCCCTGGCATACACATGCTGCAGCCCCCTTGGTCGTGAAATTCAACAGACCCTTCTTCCTGTTTGTGGAGGATTGGATGACTCAACGAGCAATCCTCATGGGCAAAGTCTTCAACCCCATAGCTGAGTAGAGATGGGGCCGGGCTCGGCGGAGCTGGAACCCAGCAGCTCCTGAATAAAGTGAATAAAATTCACTGCTATTGAATCAACAGAAGCTGAGTCTGAGACGTGTGGGCTGAGAATGGAGCTGGGGCGGGTCATTGCTGGTCTTCTGTCCTGGGAACAGGGCAGGATAAAGAGAGGTGGGGGGCCTGCTGGGGACACTTGGCAGGTGTACCTTCTGTCCTGAAAAAGGATGGATATATGCAGGGAAGCGATTCTAAGAGGCGCAAGCAGGGTGTGAGGGTCTCTTCGGGGGGGGCTGTCTTATTGGCCTTGCTTCCTGCCCAGCTGGTAGTCAGAGCCTGTCGGCTCATCTACACAACAGGTATAACTCCGTCAGGCAGCCCCAGGCAGGAAGCTGGGTGGGCAGAGGCAGGGTCCCACCACAGAGAGGAGCACCCACAAACACCTCGGTGGGCCTCTGTGTGTCCACCCAGCTCCAAGGGGAAATAGGAGGGTACCTACAAAGGCAGAGACCCCCAAATATTTTGGCAGCACCTTCTCTGTCCAGACCCCTTATGAGAAAGTTATTATTGCCCCCATGGGATAAGAGGGAACATGGACGAGGTTTGAAGAGCCAGGAGGATGGTCATGCACAGAATGGAAGGTGTGTGTGTGTGTAGGAAAGGCTGGGACTCCACCTTGGAATCACACCAGCTCATTGCCAGAGTCAGGATAAAGCCTATCCTGGCCTCCCCCACTAAGGCACCACACGCTGGGGCACTGAGGTTTAGGGTCGCACAGCTCCTCGGGACACTCGGGCAGCCGGGCTTTGCTCAGCCTACAGCACTTTCGTGGATCACTGCTCACTCTCCTTTAGCATGTGGGACACCAGGCTCCCACCATCCTCCATGCTCACCCTTCAACATACTGGGCATTAGGACTGAACAGTATCCATGAGCGCCCTTCAGCATGAGGGACGCTACGCTCTGGCTGTCCTCCATTGGACACCATCTACTCCATGGGACACGGGGCCCTCAGCGCACCCTCTCTGCTTTTGCCGTGGATCTGCTTGGACATGAAACACGCACAAGTGGGGATCTCCAGGCCTTCCTCCATCTGCTCATGCGGTGGACGCCACTTCCTCCGCATTTTCTAGAACAAACTACCTTGTTGCTCATCTCTCAGGGGAACGTCTTGTGCCAGGGTCTAGCATAGAATCCAAAATGTGAGACTCCCAGAGTTGGTTCTAATTTCCTTCAGTCATTTTCTTTTTCTGTACGTGGACAATATTTATTTAAAGTATCAGTAAAATATGGGAATGACAAGAATCAGTAAAACATTGGAGCCTCGCCACCCACTTCGCGAGCAGGTAATTCAACCTCACAGAGCCTCAGTGTCCCGTCTGTAGGTGTGGCTGACTGTGCCTCCTCACATTCTTTCTCTGTCCCGTTTTACTGAGAAATAATCGACACACGTCACTGTGTGCATTCCAGGTGAACAGTAAGGCAGTTCAGTCCACGTGTGTTATGAAATGACGATCACGACGGGTGGGGTCAGCATCTCCTGGTCTTGTCACTAGGGTGATCTGTCCAGATCACAGGAAACATCACTGACGGGTCAGCAGCAGCCACATTGCGACTTCTGTCATTGTCAACCAGTAACGGAACATCCTCAAATGGAGTGGGGCCCAGAATCACCATCCGCTCTGATTGTAGGACGGGCAGGCAGGACAGATCCTTCCAAATAAAGAAGGTCCCTTCCTGGTGGCTGCACATTGCTTTAGTCCAGTTCCAGGAATTGACCTGGCAAATATTGACTGGGCCGCCCTGATCTTCAAACCCCATTTCCTGTGGGTAGGAGGCCACGCAGTGCTGAAGACCCGGGGCCCCCAGCCCAGGGAGCTTGCTGTGAGTACCGTGCTCATGCCGAAGTGCAGGCGTGCGGGTGTGCGGGGTGCTCCTCTCTCTCTCTCTCTCCCTCCTTCTCTCTCTCTTTTTTCCCTCCTTCTCTCTCTCTTTTTTCCCTCCTTCTCTCTCTCTTTCTCCCTCTCCCTTTCTCTTTCTCCCTCTTCCTTTCTCTTTCTCCCTCCTTCTCTCTCTTCCTCCCTCTCTCTCTCTCTCTTTCTCCCTCCCTCTCTCTCTCTCTCTGGCTTTGGCAGCAAGGATGGGAGAACTGAGTCCCCCAAAGGAAAAATGCCACGATATACTGCTTCTAAGGCTTTAAGTGGGAACTTCAGGTTTTAAACAACCTTTTATGGAAAACTTGGCCATCAAAAATGCTGAGAGAGGAACTCCCAGGACTCCCGGTGGTTAGACAAGAAAACGGGATAATACAACCCAAAGCAAATGACAACATTGCCGTAGCAAATTTACTTGAGACACGGTTGTAGCAAAAGGCTCACACTTCAAGAGCCCTTGTCTAGAATCTGAATCATGCTCCTGCCACTTAACAGGTGCTCATCTTGATCCTGAGTCCAGTTTCTCCGTCGGCACAGCAAGGGTACTAATCCCTGTGTGTTAGGTTCTCATAGGGATTCCATTAAGTGACATGAATCAACTATCTCTCGACAAAGGCACGCCTGGCATTTGTACAAGACCATTCTTCACTGCATGTGACTGCTCTGGCATTTCCAGAGCTGTCTGTCTCCCACCAAACTCCAGGAGCAGCCCCTGCTCCAGTCTCTGAGCTGATCCCAAATTCCATCCCCTTGCATTTGAGAACACATCTGGCTGGGAGCCTGTGATACAACGGATCTAATATCCCCGCACAAAATAAACAATATATGGGAATATTATCATTAATTAATGGAGTTCTTAATTTTCATCTGGCATCTTTCTAGAAAAGAAAGAAAGAAAGAAATTGGGTGTAATTACACCCGACCTCTATAGAAAGGGGTGGAAATTCACATTGCGTGCTTCCTACGTGTCAGGTGCTTTCCACACCATATGCCTTATAATCCTTAAGTGCCTCCCACCCCGGAGGGTAGGCATTATCCTTTGCATTTTGCAAATGGGGACACTGCGGGTCAGAGCGTTGCCTTTGCGCAGACCCCACAGTGAGATACTGTGAAGTCTAATTCAAACCCAAGCCCTCTGACTTTCCATCCTCTTTGGGAAATAAGCCTTCTGCAAGTCTGGGAATCGTTAGGGTGCAGAAGGGCAAACATGGTGAGGTCAATGGGATAAAAAGAATAAACCAGAACCAGTTTTCTTACAGCTGTATTTCTGAATTTCCCCAGGAGCAGGCCGATTTTTACATTGTTCTGCTTCCCAACGTGAATGGAACATGTTGTGAGGGGAGCCCACCAGAGCTCTGGGGGAGGGAAGGAGGAAGGACGCGGCCTTGGGAAATGGCCTGCAGTACTTTGCTCAGCAAACTGTTTCCACATAACTGATAAGCAGGCTGTATTCGTCCCTCCCAACAACTGGCCTGTGGGGCTTTTAGGGCCCCGGGTGCTGTAAACCATCTACAAAATGTGATCTCTCCCACACCACCATGGCATCTGTAATTGACCCAGAGGTCAATGCTTTGGGCAAAGTGTGGCAATTAAGACACAAACGTTATCAAGACAGACAAACGGCAAGGATCGGGTGGTCAGCGGTGGAAGGGTCAGTTCTGAAGGGGACAAGGGACGGCACTCTCCTTACTGGGGACATCAAGGTGTGGGGGAGTCCGGGTGGCCATGTGATAGTGCATGCTCTATGAGGACGTGCGGAGGTGTGTGTGTGGAGACCCTGAAAGGGACAGGGGCACTGGACTGGGGGCAGAGGGAGCAGAGAGAAGCCACATCTACCCTGCAGTTTCACCTCGAGCTGGAGCTGCCTTCCCTGCCCTGAGGAAGGAGTCCCCTGCTCCTGCACCATTTTGACTCCCTAGAGGTAGAAGGCTTCGCTGGCACATTTTGTGACCCAAAGTACTAGAGAGATAAGATTCATTTCCTAGTGCCTGCCCCAACAAAGCACCACAACCTGGGTGGCTTCAAAGACAGAAATGGATTGTCCCACAGTCATGGGGGCCGGAAGTCGGAGATCCAGGTGCTGGTGGCAGGGCTGATTCCTGCTAAGGCTGGGAGGGAGAACCCACTCTAGACCTCTCCCCGAGCTGCCGGGGGGTTGCTGGCGATCTCTGGCCTCCTTGGTTCTAGAAGCATCACCTCGATCTCTGCCTTTGTCTTCACAGTGCATTCTCCCTGTGTGCCTGTCTGTGCCCAAATGTCCCCTTTTTAGAAGGACACCGGTCTTACTAGGTTAGGTCCCATCTAATGACTTTGTCTTAACCAATTATACCTAACCGCCCCATTTCCAAACAAACTTTCAGAGATACTGGGGATTCGAGCTTCAACATATGAATTTGGGGGGTGCACAGTTGAACCCTTGACAGATGTCTTCCCTGAACCTCTGCATCAATTAAGATACAGGTTTCAGCGGTTGCCTGTGACAAGGGGTGCTCGAGATGACAAGTTTGATGGAAACAGAGCTGATCCGTCCTCCCAGGCTCCATCCACCCCTCATGGGTGGCCCCCATCCACCAGGCCCCATGACTCATCATCACCTCAACACTCCACCTAATGAAAAATCAGAAGAGGAGAGGGCACTCCCCTTTCTTGGAGGATCTGACCCAGGAGCTGCACACACCATCCTCTGCCCTCCAATTGGCAAGAGTGACGTGAATGGCCACACCTGGGTGCTAGCAAGGCCCAGCCTCACTCACTGTCACCGTGTCCTGAGCATCTGCTCCGTAGTCACCCCCAGTCCCTGAAAGTTAATGAATGATTCAAATAATGCCTGGAAAGAAGAAAGAAAAAAGAAAAAGGAGGGAAGGAAGGAAGGAAAGAAGGAAGGGAGGGAAGGAGGGAGGAGGGAAGGGAGGGTAGAGGGAGGAAGGGAGAATAAACAATGGAAGTTTGTTTTTAGAGCCCAGAGTCCTTTTCTCAACAAAACCTCATAGACAGATGATCAATATGTCAAGCAGATTTAGGGCTATGGCTCAGTCTGTAGCCTCATCCTCTGCAGAGCCCCTCATGACCCCTGTGTGGGGTACAGTTTGGATGTGAGGCTCACCGTGTGAGCAATGGGGAATGCTGAAGTTACTTATGAAGTAGGATGAC